GGATCGACCTACTTTCTTCGCAGTACGACATAACTAAATTTACTTAATAAAATCTGTAGAGTGTCGTTGACTTTCACTTCAAAATACACCATTTCATTGACACGTTTATTTCGAATATTTATGCCGCTGCGTTCATCGTATCTGTGGCCCTAAAGAGGGCTGTTGGGTCGCAGTTATTGGCCCTAAAGAGGACCATTGGGTTAGAGCTCTTCAGTTGTCCGAAGTCATCATGAAGCTTTGCTCTATCGTAGAAAGTGCTGAGGCGTATATGCGTCCATGCCGGTGATGACCTCCAGTTCTCGCAGAAGGCGACGGCGATTTCCTAAAAATAAACTACATAGAATATGCTCTCAATACTTTCTTTTGCGTTCGTTTTGCTTAATTTCCTTTTTTTCAGTTTCAGCAAAACAATCAATACCCAAAAGTCCGAAAAAAACCCAAACCAAAAAAAACCCAAAAAACCCAGTTCAAAGTCCGTCCTGTGCCCCCCCCCCTCTCTACCCCCACCACCGGTCAACGTTTTTGAGAGGTGAGTGTCCGGCACTACCATCTTCATTTTTGCTGCCCTGTGGTAGCTGCGACCCCCCCCCCCCCCCGGTCGACATTTTTGGGAGGTGAGTGTCCGGCACTACCACCTTCACTTTTGACCGGCCAGTGGTAGCTGGAACCACCTTCACTTTTGGGGGGCCCGGCTCCACCTATCGCACCTCTGTTCACAACATAAACTTATTCTCCGCAGATTATAGGTGACTCAAAGCATCCAGTACCCTGAAAAACCTGCTGCCGTGAACGATCCTTAAGCAACTGAACGGGAACTTTCACAGACCTCTCAGCATTTAGCGATGACCATCGTCCAAAAATTCTCTAGATTCTTCAATCATTCAGTGATTTTTTGCCCTAGAAGTATCTACGACTTCCTACCGCTGATGTATGAGTGCACTCCTTTTCATCTCATAGAGTTTCGAGACAGATAATTATTCATGGGGAAACAATAGCCTTCACCAATCGTAAGATCAAAAATTGTAAAGAAAAGTAGCACATTGTTGTTAAGGCAGGGAAATTGTCGGAAAATTTTGACTCTTTCTGAAAAATAAAATGTTTTGTATGCTACATTTTGTCGATGTTTCGACGCCTTATGCATCTCGCATTAGAGTGCTGAAAAATCCTCTATTTCTTGCGAGCCTCATTAGCAACGCGTTATAAGCTCTCCCTTACTGCGCATGCAGCCAAGCCCCTCTCCACAACACGATTAAGCCACGGCCAATTTCACTTCCATTCCAAAATGTTTCACTACACGAAAATTCATTTACGAGTGCAGTATTTCATCTTCATACCTATCTCTCTCCAGCTTTCGCTATGCTTATGTTATTCTAAATGGTAGAGGAAGATGGAAAGGAAATAAGCGCTAGTTCATGCATTTTGTACTTAAACACCTGTGGATGTTAACGGTTCCTTACCTCGTTTATTTTTCGCTATCAGGAGTGCAGACTGATTTTCAACAAAACCCTTTGTTTGCCACTCAAGTAGTAGATTTGGTAAGTAAATACAATATTCCACTTTGCTGATTTATGGATAGAGCAAAAAAACTGTTTTTGGATCCGACAACCATACAGACTTACAGAAAAAGACTCATCCGTTTGGCGGGCTGTTTGCATGAAATTCGTTTAATTGTGCAGCGAAAGAACACGTCATTTTTCGACGTTAGCAAAACACGATTTACGGTAGTCACACATTCGTAATACGATTTCTGGTTTCATAAGCAGAATTATCATACGATTTTCGATAGTCACACATAGGCTAGAACAGGGATACTGAAATCTAGTAAATGTCCTCTACCCAAAAATAGTCATTTTTCTAAAGTTTCTATAAGAAGACCCTCTTTTACGGGCTGCTGCTCTTCGCTACACTGCGCTGCTAACAGATGAGTCCTAAACACTGGTATGGGGACGGAAGGTGAGCACCTCACCGCTCTTGCGCCCATTTCCTATACCACTCTCACAGCTCCAACGCATAGACATCAATTTCGTCTTCACAAGCCCTATAAGTTTAATTACAGTACGCTGATCCAGATTTTGCAAAAAAAAACTATAATATTTGACCCTTATATGCTTAAAGGCACCGTCCACCCTAAATTGAGGGTGTTGAGCTTTTGACAGCTTATAACAGTAGGGCCTCCTATCAAGCCAATGCCCAAGTAATGGCGCAGAATGCCGCTTCAGAAGCGAGAAAATCGCTTCGGAATAGCGAAGATGCACGAGGACCCCCCTCCATGCCCGCCCCTCCCCATCCATGCCCGCCCATTTGTGCGCGCTCATTCAATCACCGTCCTGGAAAGCCGGCCTGTGGGTTCCCCGGAACGGCGATTTTTGGGATTTTCGCGAATTCTCGGCTTCATACTTGCAATCGGGACATGAGAAAGCCCTGAAACAACAAAAACATGGAAGTTGAGAATCTGGGTGGACGGTGCCTTTAAGGTCATTTAGCTTGTATGTATCTATTTCTTGATTATCCGGTATATAGCTGCTTGCAATTGTTATGTCTTCTTTTTTATCGGCTATTTGCAATTCAAATTCCGCTCGAGACGACTTTCACGAGTCACAGAAATCAGTTGTGAAAAGCACAAAGAAGCTTAACATTTATGGGGAAATTCTTTGGGAACTTGGTTGAAGTAGATCAACTGAATCTTGTTGCCCTTGAGAACATTTAAAAAATCTAGATTTTCTTAAAAAGCTTTGCCCTTGAGCAACTCTGTTGAAGGCAAAATGTGATCTACATTTAAATTGGTGATGTGATATCACCGATTCAAATGTAGATTAAAGAAATAAAAGTCATTCAAAGACGCTGGTTACGATGATCTATGTTCTTTCGCATTCGTTTCGGCCGCAAATGGTCAGCCTTGCTTAATTAAGGCGTTTGCTGTTCGCATGTTTATTTTTCTTGAGACTCAGTTGAAGCCTTCAATTAAATTAAGCTAAGGCCATAAACTGATCGAAATTCTCAGAACCTTTCCTTGCATACACTTATTCATACTATGCTCTTCAAGATAAAAACCCTGAAGTTTCCATATAGGTCTTCATTTGTAAACAGAAAGCTCAAAAAGTGCGTTTTGTCTCAAAAATGCTACTAAAACTCAAAGTAGAATTAGGAATTAGAAATATCACTCTGAAATGAATATCGAAAAGTCGCCCAGTGCATAACTATAATACTAATTCTTATACTGTCCTCCGTATACTTAACGGGACGTAGTTCCGCGTAGCTACACAGATGAGTAAATTAAAATATGAATATTTCATAGCATCATCTCATATATCATGCTCAAATCAGCTGACAATGAGAGTCGCGTCCTATGTATACGTAGTATAACAACTGTCACTTCCCTTGGTTTCTTCTTATGACCTTATCCAATTGAGTTTTTTGAAACTACATCCTGTCCCTGGACATCAAATACCTTACCAGGCATATTACTGGAATTTTTGAAATTCATCCAGCGCAGGAAGGTTGTTATGGTAACAAGTGCATTTGATTTTTCAAGCTTATATTATTTTATGGATTTTTGCAACAATCATTATAAATCCTAGCTGGCACTTCTGCACTCCAACTTAGGTCTTATGACTATAGTATCCTCTTTACTATTAGGTTGGCTAAAAAATAAATTCGGTCGTTTTCAACGGTTTGTAGAAATTTTGTAAATTATTTTGTGTAAGAATGTTTTGTAGCACTAGAAAGAGCAAATCAGGGAGAATCGGATGGTTAACCCTGTCTGAGCGCCAATCATTATTTTGATGACGAAACTGTGCAGGAAATGGAAATAGTCACATTTTTTCATCGAATTTTCGACATGTCCCGAAAAATGAGCTGAAGTTGGGTGCAAAATGCACAATTGGCATCCACTCCACAAATTTTGAAATTTCCAACAATTTGCATGGCCATAGCTGGTCAAACTCGAGCGATTCGGACCGCCCAAAAACTGACTCCCATGTGCAAATGCCTGGAAATTCTCACATTTTTGGCTGCAGAAATTCATAAACAACAGATCGCAACCTCCATTGTGGTTCGCCATGTAGCGAAAAGTTGTATACACCTAACCACCAAATTAGTCATCTGTGCGCTCAGTATGGGCTGAGAACGATAATTAGAAAATCAAAAGAGCGAATTTTCAGAAGGCTAGCCATATAAGGGCACAATTGCTAATTATTGATGACCAAAAACTGCAACTATTTGATATGTGATAGTAGAGGGTGAAGCTACCTCCTGGCAAAAAAATCTCTGCTAAATATCTGCTAGTCGAATTGTTACAGACTTTCGACGAAGCATGTCAAACCGAACTTATTTATTAGCCAACCTAATATTTTGGTAGAGATCTACAAATCTTTCGCTGATTCCTTAGCTCGATATATTTATAATACTCGTATATCTTCTCCTTGTTTCTGAAATTATTATTTTTTTTTACTTCACAAGCCTAAAAGACGCTCAGACTCCTTGTGCCGATGCTCCTCCTATATGGGCGGAGCTGCACCATTAGGCAACATATACTTATATTCAAGCAACCCATAACTACGGAACCCATTCCATGAATCCATCTCAAGCTTGCTTTTTTCTTAATTTTCTTTTGAGTATAATGTGAAAGCACCTTTTCGAGGAATACTATGAGCTACCAAACCGGAGAAGCTTTGAAAGTGCAAGTCAATAACTTTTTCATGACACATATGGCGTGTGTGTAGAATCTGCCAAAGATAATCTTCCTGAAGTATCTCGGCGGCTTTTTTTTCGTTACTCGTACGGATATCCAGAAGTGTACTATGTCACTGGCAATAGTGGCTACTTCACGTTTCCGTCTGAGTGCACCTTCATTTAACAATTTGCACATAACGTTTCCTTCGTATCCTCATGTAAGTATCGTTGCAAAATGCACTTGAATACTACTTTTCAGAATTACTTCGCTTTGCCCAAGCATGGGCATTTATGGAAACTTTTGATGATTTGGAAGGATGTCATACGCCATGCCTTCTATTGATGGCATCTTTCTCATGATCCTTGTAACTGCTACTACAGGTGAGTGCTTCACAACATCGACCTATTTCACATTTTGTGTGCAGCCTACGAAGCGAAATCTGTTAGTGCATCTTGAGCAAATTGATGAATATTAGAACATCATCTCATTAGAAATATTGTTAAGGTAAATGCCAAAGCAGAGCTTGCGCTCTCAAAAAAAATTTATGAAAATTCTCAGTGGCTGTGCAAATTTTTGTTTGTCGGTAATTTCGAAGCGCTTTCCATAATCGGCATAAAATTCTTGTAAAAACCCAGCTTTTCATGAAAAAAATGAGCGGGTGCCGCCTTTCTTTGCTTTTGAGAATTCATCTTTGAGAGCTTAAAAATCAAATACGCTTTCCAATGACATCAGAAAGTTCATTTTGAAAATGAAAAGTTTTTCTCAATGATATCTATAAAGTCATCATATTTCTCACATTCAAAAAATTCTCGTGCCTTTTGCAAACCGCGATTCTTATGTGGTAAAAACACCCCGACAGCTGCACTGTAGATTTTACCGCTCTATAAAGCCTTTTTGAGAGGTTTGTGTACCAGCATTATTAGGCGATAGAAAAAAAAGGTAAATAATAGGTGGAAAGACTGACGAAGGCTTGAAAGAATTGAATTTTACTCTGTCCACTCAACCAAGCCGTTCATGATTTTAGTTTCCGCTCTGGAATGCATGCAATGCGACAAAAATGCTGCTTGGTACTCGGAAGAGGAGCACCTACGACACATCGAGCTTTGTCAAAGTGGACTGATACCGTCAACACCCTGCAGAAATAACTCACACACTCACTGTATTGTCAGTTGGTACAGAAGTGGAGACAGCAAAGGTAAGACTGCTTTTGATACTTACATAATCAGAGCACTCAGAAAAATGTCTTATAAAACACAACCTTTGAAGATTGTGTTCATACAGTACTACGGCTAAATATCTTGCAAAGTGAATTACTGCCGGTGCGGCTCCTTCCAACATCATTTGGACAACCTAATTAGGTGTCTTATTATAATTGGCGGACTCCACTTTCCCTCCTTCATTCGTGCGTGACTCAACTGCTGGCATTGCCAACAGCCGCTGCACAAGGACCCTCTTAACGAGATTGCGACAATATGCCCGTGGGAGCGTACTTTCCAGGGGCTGAGAGGGGGGGGGGGGGGGGAGAGTGCGGATAATTTTCATGTTTCTAATGTGTTAATATCAGAAGGAAATAGAGTACATCATAACCTGTTTATTTTGTATACAGCGCCGAGTAACCGTTATATTTTAACAGTCTGGTTCACAGATTGCACAGATCTAGGTTTTTTTCAAAGTTGACAAATATTTTCATTAGACTTTTTTGGGTCCCAAGATTTACGTAAAACGATGAGCTTACAAAATTCTTGGAAATTCTGGGTTGTTGGCGATACTGGCCAGTACAATGGTCCACATTCTTTTGTATGATTCTTAAAGTATAACATTTTTTCTGTCAAAGTACTTATTCAAATTTATGGAATGCTCTTTTCTTGATCCGATAGGAGCCTAAATGGGTGCTCTTTTCTTTAACCGATGTTTTCGTTAATGTGAGAAGCGCTACATATTGAAACAGCTCTTCTGGCTCATATGTTAGTTTCAGAAAGGATAATTACTGAGCGAAAATGTGGTGGAATAGAAGACATAACCGGCTGCACTCTCTACAACTCAAAACTTACCAGAAAGGTAAGCTTACATTTGAAACAATCGCTTCAGGAAACTTTTTATTTTTTGAATAAAGCGCAATTCATGTCTATAAAAATGTGAAATATTTTGTATAGATTCGGCATCTACTCTCTACAGATCAGAGAAGCGGCAGCGCACATCGAGCAACGTCCGCTCTTTTTGTTGAGGTAAATGACTTGCATGAGACTTAATTTTATGACTTTTACGAAGAAGTGTTTTCAGGTATGTAGCGAATCATGTCCTGATGGTAGATGTTCAAACGCAAGTGCTATGAAGTGGGCTATCAACGTGGCCATAATTTCACTTGTCTCTTTATTGCAAAAATAATGGATAGAGCCATTATTTAATAATTGACCACCAGTTTGTTGCAAGAAGTTGAAGACCGTCACTACAACACAGTAACCGTCAGAAAGTTGTGGACAAGTCCCCCTCCTGTTTTCAGCGCTCATTTTCAGGTGGAAAACAAAGATGAAGGAATGATTGTACTACATATGGTGATAGAGCTCATCAGCTACACCCACACGTTGCACTTTCCGGAAAACATGTATTAAGAAAATTTTAAAAAGTTTTTTCTAAATTAAGTCAGAGGATGGCCGCGTCGCAATGTTGCAGACAATAATTCTTCAAATGCGAAATATTTCTTTTAGGTCTTTTCTTGGAACAGAAACAGAAGTTTTGCGGACAGGTAAGCATACTATATTGTAGAGCTCTTGTGGATAATCGAGTAGTGGTTACTTCCAAAAATACCCAAGCTTTTTTATTTTCCTTTTTTTTCAAAAAACAACTTCTGGATCCCTTTTTTCAAGCCAAACATCTTCACATGGTAACCTATTCGAGAAATTCTAACAAAGTTATTGGATAAAACTGATGCTCTTTGCCATCCTCTACGCATCGGACGTGTGCTGGTGAGTTTCTTTGCTGAAAATGGCTCTTGATAGTGCGTGCACATGACCCTACCTGCACCATACCACTGACTTGCACCGCTTTGCAGGCTTGTAGTTCGGCCAGCAGTCATTCTATGAGCCTGCATATAGGCTCATTCGAAATAGCGTGACTTCCTCGATATGATGGTATGCAAATTAATTGAGGATTTGGGATGTCCCGGAAATTCTGCGAATGGGGTGACAAAGCGCAGCTTCAGTGGTAGGTTAAGAATTTGACAGGTAAAGTAAAGCTCCTTTCGCCACCAGTTCCATCCTGGAGTTCAAAACTGTCAATTTTCTTGTAATAGATCCATATCGGAGCTCTAAGTGTGTTCTAGTGTTAATACGAGCCTCCACTCCAAAAACTTTCATGCTTGCGCTTTATTACCCCATCCGTACAATCTTCGGCATCTCTCAGACTCAACTCTTTTGCAAACCATCATGTCGAGGAAGTCACGCTCTTTCGAATGAGCCTATGTAAATCCTTATAGAATGATAGCCGGCCGAACTACAAGCCGCAAAGCGGTGCTAGTCAGTGGTGGGGTGCAGATGGGGTCATGTGCACGCACTGTCAAGAGCCATTTTCAGCAAAGAAACTCAACAGCACACGTCCGATGCGTAAAGGATGGCAAAGAGCATCCGTTTTATCCAATAGCTTTGTTAGAATTTCTCGAATAGGTTACCATGTGAAGAAGTTTGGCTTGAAAAAGGGATCCAGAAGTTGTTTTTTGAAAAAAAGGAAAATAAAATTCAAGCTTGGGTTTTTTCGGAAGTAACCACTACTCGGTTATTGTCCTCAATGAGCTCTACAATATAGTATGCTTACCTGTCCGGAAAGCTTCTGTTTCTGCCCCAAGAAAAGACGTAAAAGGAATTTTTCGCGTTCGAAGAATTATTGTCCGCAACATTGTGACGCGGCCATTCTCGGACTTATTTTAAACACTTTTCAAATTTTCTTGATACATGTTTTCCGTAAAGTGCAACGTGTCGGTTGTAGCTCTTGATGAGCTCTATCACATATGTAGTCCGACCATTCCTTCATCTTTGTTTTCCACCTGAAAATGGGCGCAGAAAACAGGAGGGCGACTTGTCCGCAACTTTTAGGCGGTCACTAAGTGAACTGTATCGGTTATCACAACTCGGATCAAAACCTTCGTTTTGTTTGAAAATTGGAGAGCTTGCATACATGGCTCTTATTTGTCAACTATCACTTGTAAAAAGAAACCAATTATAAAAATAGCTTGTTTATGCGTGGTCATGTTTTTGCTGCAAAAAGTAATCCGTAATTGCAAAAAAGTACTGATTTTTGTCGGTACATGCATTGCCTCAGCTTCACCATTCCCTATATTCACTTTCGGGTAGAGGCTACAGGTCGCCGAAAGGGGGGTCTCGCGCGGACGTCCTGCAACACACACCTCGCATAACAGCTTGTGTTGGATGTCAGCGCTGATGAAATCTATGGGCGTGTTGTCTTTGTCACTTCTGTGTTTACTACTTCGCCCCCATTACTCGTACAAATGTGTTTTCGCATCTCCTTTGTGATATATGTGTATTAAAATTGTTGTTACGAGCTTCTCACTGCGACTTATCTGATTATGTTGACTGTTTCTGATTGTTTTATTGACATCTGCTTAAGCATCTCATTATGGGTAATTTTTTACCTTTCTCATGTATGTATATAATTACAAAGAGATAAAATCTTATCTTGCTTAAGTTGTTGGACGTTGGAACTGGCTACAAGCACTCATTACATTCTCTCAGGCGCAAGAACAGTGCACTGGTATGACATCAGTCCACGATGCATTAACAAGGGAATGGTCAGAAGTCAAAGTGGCCAATCCATACAAGCTGCATAACAATTAGATGCAGCATAAAACGCTGACTAAATCTGTCTTTCTTATCTGCAGAGCGCTTTTGTGGGCGAAATTATAAGCCGTTGAAGGCCATTATTTTGCTAAGAAATTGTGCATGTAAAGTGCAAACTTGGCCGTACAAAGCTATTCTCGGCTTAGTTTTGGACCAAAACATGCAACTAGGTCACTTCATATAGCCAGACCTATAGGTGAGCTGAAAGAGCAATAATGTGCCTAATCTCGCAATCTTTGTAAACAGTTTTTTCGCAGTAGACTGCTTATAACTCCCCTACAAAGGCGCTCTGCAGATATGAAAGACAGATATGAAATCAGCATTTTATGCTGCATCGAATGGTATGCAGCTTGTATGAATTGGCGGCCACTTCGACTTCTGATCATGCCCGTGTAAGTAGTCTGCCAGTCTTTGCCATTTGGCTAAGAAGACAACAACTGATGCTATCCCGCTATCAAGGAGTTCGCCTAGCTCATGCATGGATAAAACAAAAACACATTTTTGACGAAATTTTCATGAGAAAAAGAATGAAATGGTCGCAACATGAACTCAATGAATTAAACCTGTAAATTCTTGTCATAGCTTTCCAAAAAAGTCAGCAAACTTTACAAAAAAGAAAAAAATCTGTTTTTTCCTTTCCACGCGTCTGCTGTTCATCGATTCTCTCTTTTTCGGGCCCCGATATTGTGAAGTTTTGCGCCGATTTTGTTTGCAATGTTAGGCAAATGATGTGTATCACAAGTTACTCAGGAGCAACTTACGGAATTCTTCTCTGCGTCTTCTCTCATACACCATCTGCATTCGTCTAACATCAGTTCACGTTCAACTCAACTGAACGTGAACTGATGTGCAAGAGTTAACTGCAGCAGGTGGAACGAATTGTCAGCTGTCAGTTCACTTGCCATGCTTTTAGCATAGGAAGGTGGGCGGTCATCATTTCACTTGATGCATGCTCAGGTGATGGGTTAAGTTCAGTTCACCTGAACTGATCGAGCTTTACTGTGGGCCATAGTCTCAAATCATGACTCCGCACATCAGTTTCGCGTAGACCCTCGCGGGCGCCACGAATCCATGCGAATACGATCACGGGGCATAGTTTGGAGCCCACCATCTTAGCCGTTAGTGCACTATCTGAGCTGCCGCTTGGGCAGAGTCTTATTTAGGGACTCAGATTACTTTAAAATTGAGAGCCCCATAGGTCCAGATTTGCCTAAACGCTGCCTTTAATTGTTCAATCGAGGCTGAAGAAAATTGAAAAGAAAAGCTGAAAAAGGTTTAATTTATAGTTGATGTGATTCTAGGATTATGCAAACGAAGCAGCGCTTGAGTTCGGCTTTATCGAATCCGTATGCAATGGAAGTATCGGGAATCACATCCCGAGACGAGCGTGTCATCGCAATACACGACGAGTAAGTGGAATTTTGCTTCAAGATCATTGCTGTAGTTGGTGGTTTGAGCGCCTGAGGTATTGACTCTCAACATTCGCGAACAGCCGAGGTTCGCTGAAAGAACGTTCGCGAACGGCCGAGAATTGGTGAACACTTGACAAACACTACCGATCCTATAGACAAATGAAACCGTAGGATAGCGCTCTATACAGCAGGTATAGAGTACTATTTCTTTAGAAGCTAAAGAAAGCCGTGGGAATTTCCGACTTCGCGTCAGTGTGTATACTTTTTCTTCAAAGGATTCGTTGACGTTAAGTCGAGCTTCTCTAGCGATACACCGTTACACCACTACTTTTTTAAAAAGATCTCGGAGCTTTTAGGAAACTTTACATCACTGTGACGCGCAGTAAAATATTTTGATCTCCGAGACGTCATGCGCGCGGTGCAAAGCGCAGAAAGATCGCGCTTGAGTTCAATTTTTGACCACGCTGAAACAATTCGGCTACTAGCGGAAAATGACATAGCACAGCGAGTTTAGGGAAGTCTCAGTAGCTGGAATTCTGGACTAGCATTAACACATTCAGGAGAACCTTCTGCTCGTGCTCGCTATGGACCTTAAGGATGGACTCAATCGTCTGCGTCTCCAACAATTTAGGTTCGCCTATCATAAGTGTGCAGCAGTTCAAATGCGACAATTTGATGCTGAGCATATTTTGGATTATCAGCATCCATTCAAGATGTGCAGAAAGGAGGGAAAAGAAAGTGAACTAGAGTGAACTCTAAAGTGAACTCTTTCTTATCAAGAAAATGAATTGGAATGACTTTCGTAAGTACAAAAAAAATTTCGAAATGGTCGATGGGATGCCCAATCAAACAAGTTATGGATTTCCTGCGAAATGTTTTCATAGACGTGCGCGAGTGAACAAGACCGCGTCAGTCTTTTCGAGATTCCTTTTGGATATGTGATTCGAATCCATACGAAATCTGTAATAACACGTGCCGTGTCTCAAAATCTCCTGAAGAGATAAAAAATTGATTAATCTGCCGGAAGACATGGCCAACCGATCACTAGTGATGCTTTTTTCCTAAAATTTGTCTTACAATAGTATTTAACGAATTTTTTAGAATTCATACTTGATGCGCTAGAGTT